AGAAAAAAAACGAGTCTAGCAGTCTGTCCATACTTATTGCAGTCTGTCCATACTTATTGCAGTCTGTCCATACTTATTGCAGTCTGTCCATACTTATTGCAGTCTGTCCATACTTATTGCAGTCTGTCCATACTTATTGCAGTCTGTCCATACTTATTGCAGTCTGTCTATACTTATTGCAGTCTGTCTATACTTATTGCAGTCTGTCTATACTTATTGCAGTCAGTGTGAGGACAGAGACGCCACAGAAAACGACCCCTAAGGTTCGGTTCATGGCGGAGTGAGGCATAGTAACAAATTGCAGAATGTTCCTGGGATATTATATAGGCAAGATGGAACTGTTGGAAAATGAGTCCAACGATGAGATCAGTGCAAGCAAGATTACTGAACAAACTTTTCGATGGTGGATGAAGGGAAGAAACCTTTCTGAGGGCGAAGAGAATGAGACTATTCCCCACAATGGCTGCAACAGATATTAGAAGATCAAAAGAGGAGAGAAATAGAAGAAGATTTCGATCACAGACGCCCGTGAAGCAACGAAATTGATCACCTCTGGTTTGGTTTGTCATGATCATCCGTAAGGTTCTCCATGTAAGTTTATAGCAGTTACCACTCTTTCATTGCAAAAGGCGCTTAGAACTCTCCTTTTCAATGCCGCAGAACGTCGAAAGAAAAATAAACTGAACGTCGAAAGAACGGGTCTAGTACTAGTTTAACAAATGACCAGACGATGATGTTTGAGTCTTTCTAGCGATGTGGGCCCTTCAACTCGTCGGTATTGAAGGGGCGTTTCCTGAAGAAAGCGGGCGTTTCCTGAAGAAAGGGGCGTTATTGAAGAAAGCGTTTTGTGTCAATATAACTATATTTTCTGGTAATCTTTTCATATGATAATTTTCAAATATTTCCTGCGGCTTATTTTTCATTTTTACTTTAAACGAGGCACAGAGGTAGATTTATTGCTTGTTTTTAAGCTAGCTAATTGCGGTGCCAAAACTGTTTTTCCGCACGCTGAGGCGTTCTTGTTTCAATACAATTTCAATCAATTTCTTAAAAGTTGTGTTTTCTCTTCAGATCCTAATCTTATTCATCCAGTGGAAAATTGATATCGTGCTAAGATTTTCAAAAAAGATTTTGCAGCCTGGCACCTATGGCCATTGATAAGTTTAAGAGCATCACTTTTCACTTGCATTTTTCGGCGTGGCGGCAGATTAGCTCTGCAAAATGAGTTCTGAATTGAGGGAACACACTCGCAGCAAAATTATTCACTCCTTTGATATAATCAAAAGGAAAACATCATAACCAAAGACCAATAAAAACACAATACAAAAATTTTAATTAGTGACATGCCGGGTAAGAACCTCTATTGCCCAAAGCAAAGAAAAAAATTAAATCATTGAAGCTGTCTTTGTGAAAGTGAAATATTAATGTTCATGCCAGCTTTGTCCAACTTAACCTATACATAATTTATCAAATGCTTAGTTGATACGACTGATCGCTTAGATAAACTGATTTCTTCTTCTGTACTTACCCATGTTTACGAAGGCTTTGGATTCTTAGCATAAAATAACGAGAGCATCTTTTTCCCCTGTCCGCCTGAATGAAAAGTGTGCATGGAAAACAGCCGGAGCTCTTTACGAATAAACACTAAAAAAAAAAAAGAGGCATTTCTCATGGCGCGCAGTTTATTCTAAGAGGGTACGTTTTGCCTCTGATTTTTTTTCTGTTTTGATGGATGACATTAATAAGGGACCTAACTCTTGACATGACGTTAACGTAGTTTACTGTACATTTAGAAACCAATTCAGCATCCTTTTGTTACATTTTTACCCAGATCCGCCGGCGGCGACAAAATTGTTGACACATTGATCTTTTCAACCTCTATTACCTCAGGTTTTGTCTCTTTTTTCCCTCGTTAAGTTTACCCATTCGCCCCCTCTC